CTCACAGAAAATAACCTTCTGCTGAAGAAACACTTCTGTGTGCAAGATGACATTCTCTAATTTTTATCTTTATGAACCCTGGGTTGGACAAAGATGTTTTTTAGTCTTGGCAGAGTCTATGGCAACTTAAGCTGGTTTACCGCGAACATTAAACTTTATGATTTGCCAGAATTACTAGATGATTGTGGAGGGAAGTTCTCATGGTTTACCCACAGCAAAGCAACCGCTCACTCAGTCCCTCACCAGAGTGACTGGGGACAGAATCAGAAGGGTAAAAGCTGGTGAACTCATGGGTAGAGATAAGAACAGTTTAATATGAAAAGCAAATACCAAGCCCACAAGCCAAACAAAACATTCACTGCTTCCCATGGCAGGCAGGTGTTCAGCCATCTCCAGGAGAGCAGGGCCCATTACATGTAACAATGACTTGGGAAGACAAACACCATCACTCCAAACATCCCTCCCCTCCTCCTGCTTCTCCCCACTTTCTATACTAAGCACGATGTCACATGGTGTGGAGTATCCCTTTGGTCAGTTTGGATCACCTGTCCTGGCTGAGTCTCCTCCCAATATCCCCTGCATCCCCAACTTCCTCACCAGCTGAGCAGTATGGAAAGCAGAAAAGCCCTTGGCTCTGTGTAAACTCTGCTCAGCAATAACAAAAACATCTCTCTATAATCAACCCTGCATTTGCAATAATACAAAATATACCAGCCACTGTGAAGACAATTAATTCTACCCCAGCCAAAACCAGCAGAGAGTAGAACTTTTTGGAAAAGTCTGGCAGAAAGCAAGCACAACTGTATCCTTTATTTTTTCCTCACACATATGCATATGGTACACATTTATTTATTACTATCTATTCCAAAGCTAAGAAACTTTGGGCAATGTCATATATTGTTATGCCAACGTCTAAAGCTGAAAGCTTGAAGCAAATCAACGGGTTTAATAAAAATGATGTGAGCTTTACCTATGGATCAGCAGTTCTGAGCGGGACAATAGGGCTGACACTTTCCACACCTGCTTGCACCTACTGAGGGTTCTCATTCTTTGCTTTTCTGAATTTTTTATGCATATTTGAAATAGACAAGAAAAAAATTAGTAAAAGGGATTAGATGAAAAGTTACTTTGTCCAATTCCCCTCCTAACTCTTGATGTGATAACATGTTAATTTTCCACACGCAGCAGGAAGCCAGCAGTCTGTCACACAGGTGGAATATTTCTTCAGGTTGAAGAAATGAATTTGAGTCATTCTTAGCAGTTTATACTTTATGCCAAACAACATTTGCAGAAAAGCCCCATTCCAGAGACTCAGACAAGCACATTTTGAATTTTCCATGTTAAAATTGAAAACAATGTTTCCTGATCTATTTTTATTCTGACACAGTAAAACTGATCTGAAAGTCAACTTGGTTGATTTTTTTCCACTTCAGTTCTGACCTGTTCTGTGCTCCTGGTATACTCATAAATTAGGAGATCAAGAAGGAGGGATCAAGTATCATTCCTGCAGCTGCAGGAGTACTAAGCTGAGAAAAAAATCCTTTCAAGACCATTCTTGACCCAGATATGTCCTCAGCTCTGTCAGCTTCTCACAGCCTGTATTTGAGGAAGAACTGTGATTGTGATGACAAAAGTGACTCAGAGGCTTATTTTGATCTGTGGAACCTTCAAATAGCTTTTATAATGCAACAATGAAACATAAAATATTTACAGCTTTAAAATAAATTACAGTTTCCTGATTCCTGCCATGACTCAGATCCCACATCAGAAACAAGTCAACACTTTGTAGAAGCAAAGTTAGGCAGGTTCTACAAAAGGTAGAGAAAAATGCTACCTATTATGAGGCCAGAAGGCCATTCCATATGTCTGCCAGTGAAAGCTCTGTTAAAGCTCATATACAACAACTTGCCTAAAAGACTTTTCTTTTTCATGGGACTGTATGCAAAGTACATAAGAGTAACAAATATTTAGCAATAAGGTGCATTCTTAACTGCTTCTCTGCTATTGCTTCAAATCCACTGAATTTTAGCCTGGAGCTGCAGCTACATTCCTTACCACATGTCATGCCAACATCCCACAGTGCTGTTGTTTCAGTCATGAAAATGAGCAAGTTAGTATCATAAATGAAATAATCTGTATTCAAGGGTAGGTGATGGTAAATACAATGGCAACTGAACTTTGATCTCTTTCTCCATTTCATTTTGCTGCTTTTGCCTACTAAATTAGTCTAAAGACATCGTGAAAAATGACATGGTTTCTTGAAATGTATCTGAATAGTTCTGACTTGTGACTCTCAGAAATAGCATTAGCACATGTTCCCTTCATGAGTTCACAGCTTATGATAATATGAAAAATAAAATTGTAAGACCATATGAGAGTTACTGAAAAAATGAAGCAAAAGGAGAAATATCAGCTTCCTATTGGCAGAAAATAAATAATGAAGTAAAAAAGACAAAGTTGTAAAAGCCACTGCCTACATACTTCTGATATACCACCTGCTCTGACAATAACTTTTAGATGTCTCCATATCCTATAGGATCTTACTCTCTGAGGTAACTTCTCTTTTTTCTATGGACTCTACACTCCCTGTGAATTTTCTGTACAGCACTGCCTGCATGCTCATGTTAGAGCATGGTGCTAATAATGCCCAGGTCATGTGTTCACTCCTGTATGGGACATTCGCTTAGCACCCAGACTCAGTGATCCTTGTGGGTCCCTTCCAACTTGGAATACTCTGTAATTCTGTGGAAATGATGTTTACACTATTAATTGTGTCTAAACAAACAGCAAAACAGTCCTCAGTGGCTTAGCCAACCTTATTTTAACTTGAGAAAAACTCTACAAAAGGATGAAGAATATACAACAGGATGGTTTTGGAGTATTCTCTATTGTATTAAGGCATTTCATTTTCTATCATAGAATCACAGAATTATAGAATTGCCTCGGCTGCAAGGGACCTTAAACATCACTTAGTTCCAGTTCCCCACTGTGGTCAGGGACATCTTTCACTAGACTAGGTTGCTCAGAGCTCCATTCAATCTGGCCTTGAACACTTCCAGGGATGGGACATCCATCTCTTCTTTGGGTTACTTGTTCCAGTGCCTCACCATCCTCACAATAAAGAATTTATTCCTTATCTAATCTAAACCTATGCTCAGTTTGAAGCCATTCTACCTTGCTCTGTCCTGTAAACTGGACCTCTCCATCTTTCTTGTAGGTTCCCTTCACTGGAAGTTTTCAAATATGTCACAAGGCATCTTCTTTTACAGGCTGAGCAATTCCAGCTCTCTTAGCCTTTCATGTGGTATTTTTCCCTGTAACATTTCACCTTCCATCCCATCTCACAAACTTCAATTGAAATTGCAAGAAAATAAATCCCTCATAATGCAAAAACTTCACAGAAAACTCAGCTGAACCAAAAACAGTCAAAACAAATTGGACTTCAGATATTTATCCTGATTTGAACTTGCTTAAAATAATTTGGTATCTTCTCATTCAAGGTATTTCCCTACAGTAGGATTTTCTAACAATCTTTTTGTTCCAGGGAACAATAAGGGCTATTTTCTTCTATATACTCTTTAATACCTGGCTTCTATACTGAATATATGAAAATGTTTGACTCTCGAGTACTCATAAATTTGTAATTTGAAGATGTATAGCAAGTAAATATAGGATGTCTGACTGTAGGACCCTGAGTAACCACAGCATCTCCTATTTGCTTGAAAAAGATCCCTCTTGGATATTTCTATTCACTTGAACACAGACATGTCAACAGGAACAATGTGAAACTAGAGTTCTTTGAGATGGTCCTACATCACACAAGAGTTCACATGCTGATGTCTTCTGAGAGGCTCATCACACTGACTGCATTGGTAGAATGATGACAGCAGCTCTTGATTCTGTCACAATGTTCCATGCAGAGCTGTGGGACATAACACTTTCCCTGCAGACTGGGAGGGGGAAGACACTAAGGTATACTTTTGGATCAACTTTCTGAATTTTACATCTAGGTAATTTTCACAGATAAACTACTTTTCTGCCTTCTCCATCCATGTTAGCCCTTTTATAATCTCTTTCAATACTGATTACCTGTAGTTGTACTTCAAGTGTGAGTAGAACAGAAAACTAGTCAAGTTGGCAGTCTGTAAATCCTTGTGTGGCTATCAGCTTCAATTACCCTTGCATCATTTATTTCACTTATATATGCTAATGATCTCAAAAACACTATTCAAACTGATCAATGACCAACCACAAGGCTGTCTCTAGCCAGCTGCTGCAGTGCTGTATAACAGCACATAGCAACTGGGTGCAATACCTTTAAAAGAAGGTTTATATTACCTGGCTAAAAGGCTACTCAAATGAGAACACATGGAGATTTTACTTCACTGACCTATAGCAGTAACATTCAGCCTAACTGCAATGTTCTCCTCCTCCCATGGCTTCATTTGGCAACATTTAGAGGTGAGGCTAAGGTTGTCTCCAGCTATACAGTTGTTCAACCAGCACAGCTGCAGTCTTGGTTCTCTGCCCTCCCTGACAAAGCATAAGTCCTTACTAAAGTACCAGAGATTCAAGCTGTTAAGTGCAGTCTGGCAGCAACCCATTCTACTACAAATTTTGGCTCTCCTTATCTCACACAACTCTCTTCAGGGCACACCATAGCCATGGGAAGCAGCAGAAGTCAAAGCTCAGTAAGTGTAAGAATCTTAATTTCTCAGGCTAGTACAGTTGATGCCATATCCAACATAGGCAAAACAGACTTACGTCCTTTGGTCAGGATCTGTTCTGCCTAGTGTCTTGAACTGGCTCCAAGAATGGTTTTATGCTCCAAGAATAAACCCTTGACACAGAGAACATCCAATTTCCTAGAAATGCTGATATTTAGCTGTACTGTATCTGCAGCCTAGTACTGGTGACAGCCAAGCAGGCAGATGACCTTTCTACTTATTATTGTCTTCAAATAAAATTAAAAGCTCAGATGGCTATAAATTTGCTTAATTTTTTAAAAGTCATTTTCAAGCTTGGTTGACAGCTCCAGCTGGAGACTAAATATTCCATCCACTGGTTAAGTAAAATACAGCCAGTTGCAATGCTGTCTCTCCATTGAGATGAGATGAGATGAAATTATTCTCTCCAGTGAGATGGAATCAATTCTGTGGATGACAGAGCAGTCCATAACATGTAGTTTATTCTGTCCTATCTCTCAGGTGACAGTCAGCCAGGGCACCAGCAGTGATATCTTCTCCAACTTTCTAGTAGTTAGAAAATTGAACAATGAGCACTGGTGACCTGGATCACATTTGAACTAGAATTCTATGTTGTACAAAGATCTCCACAGCTACAAGCCTTGTCCTGCTTACAGCTAAAAACCAATCAATCTATCCTGCAAATAAATTGAAAGTTTACCTGAGCTGTACATTGTCCTGATTTTTCCTCACATGTTGACAACAAAACCAGATGAATGAAAACATCTACAGACACAGATTCAAAGTACAGTATACAGATAGAAGTACGGAATTACCTTAACCATCTATAGAAGTATTTTCTCACTAACAAATACCCTGACCTTTGCAAAAAAAAAACAAAAAAAAACAAAAAAAAAAAAAAAAAAAAAAACAAAAAAAAACAAAAAAAAAAAAACAACCATGGGCCTATTAGCCTATTATAGACATATATAATCACTTAGAACTCCTCTTGTCAAGTAACTTGTATTAGAGAAATTAGTCTGGCTCCTCATCTGCCTTCAAATCAGATGTGTGAGAGGATATCAATTCACAAAGATGCTAGGCAGCCTTACTGTTCTCATAAATATTTTGCTATGCATTCATTCACCCCTGTAGTTCACAGGAATTGACTGAAAACAAAGTAATGTGAAAATCACAAAGAAAGTCAAAATAACTAAAAAATAGTTCCACTTTTGAAAGTTATTTCAAGGTCAGATCAGGTAAAACTTAAGCCTTACCTAGAAAACATAGAACACCACTACAAGAAGATGCCAAAGATGTTTTTCCAGTTTCACCTCAGAGTTGCCTGCCGTGATGCTGCAAGAAAGAATACTTAATAAAATATATGCCCTAATAGGCAATTTGTTCTGGCCTGGCTAAATAAGATGTATGTTATTTAGAACAGGGACAATTATACTTCTTCAATAATGACACTCTGTTGTTTTTAGCACTTTTGAATGATGAATTACTGGTGTGATCTCCAGAGAGAAGTGTGTAATCCCCTTGCTGTGCTGCAAAGTGCCCCAGAAGCACCATATTGCTGAATATCCTGCAGGCACCAACTGAGACAGCTGCCAGTTGTTCTTGGGGCTCAGGGCACTCCAATGATACAACCACCTCTCCAGCAATTGTTGGATCCAATGCCAAAAAGATTTCTTTACATTCACTCATGTGTTGAAACAGCACCCATAACATATTTCACCCTCTAAAGAAAGAATCCCTAGAAAAATCACTACCATTAAAAAAAACACCATGTACACATTAACAGAGATATTTCTCTGGCACAATTGAGAGCTACTCTCCTAATATAAAAGTACAATATCAGATAAGGATTTGGCCCATCCAATTTGAATTCTATAATATATGCGTTCTTTACAATTAAATATTTGAACTGTCAGCTCCATCTAACTGCCTCATTACTGTTCATTTATTTCCTGTCAGCACCACAAAAACAGTTAGGAGAAGGATTTTCCACGAAGAGAGAGCTCACAATGGAAAGAAGATGTTTCTGTATGGTAAAGGGAGAGCATGTAGGCAGCAGAGACATAAGTGCAGGGGAAGCAGATTAGTGGGCCACTCAGTACTGAGGTACAGGACCAAACAGCAGAAAAATAAACTACACCTGGGGAAATAAGGCTTGGAAGGTGTTAAGAGTGCAGGAAGCTATTTAAGTAGTTTAAGTTAAACGGGACATTATGTACCAGGAAAGACAAATTTCATGTTCCCTGTGTCCTCTGAGTGTAAAAAAGGTCCCTAACAAGCTAATTCTCAACAGTGTAAGGAGACTATACTAATGCATACCCTCTAACCCAGTATTATCACATCTAGAGATCTCCTCTGTGCCGCTTGCAGAAGAAAGCCTCACAGGCAGTATTATGTCATTGAAAGCAGCACTGAAAACTACCCACTTGGCATCCAGTGAATAGGTCCTTATTTTCCTGCCTTTCTTATGCTACAGGCTGTGAGACAGTCTGATCTCTGAATTTCAGAGCAGTTTTTGCATGGAAAAATGCAGCCTTAAAGCCGTAACACCTGCCTGCCTGTACTAGTAGTTACAGTATTCCCTTATAGTCCCCCCACCATGCTGGAAGGAAGACCAGCGCTGTCCCTCCCCTTCTCTTTTCAGAAGAGAAAGTTGGCAGCTGGAGAGTGAGAGGACTTAAGAGTTTAATGCTCAGCTCCTGCTGAACCCCAACCAACCTCCGTTGCTGCTGTGTTCAGAGGGGAGCTGGGGAGAGAGAACCTGTCAATGACAATCCAAATGGGAACCACTCACAATGACCAACCCTGGTCCTATGCCTTCTAGCAGAAGGGCATTTATCTCTGTCCTTTCTTTTACAAGGGCAGTGGATTCATGTTTTTAATAAAGAAAAAATAGCTTAGAGCCCCATCCCTACTACACAGTGAAGTGCAGTCCCTCCTGATACTAAGCAGCCTTGCAATGGCTTTGCCTTATACCCAGTCTGGAGAAGTGCCATCCATCAGGTTCACTGAATTAAACTCAGTACAGCATGTGAATAACTGTAGACCTTTAAACCACCAGACAGCTGCAAAATATGGTCATCTTGGGTAGATGTCTACAAAGTTTATACATATATGCAAATCAAGCTATCACAAGAACAGATGGCAAAATAAACAGTGAAAATACAATTGATCACACAACTACAGCAGCTCTTTGTTTCTCTCTTCCTAAGTGCTGACTACAAGAGTAACTATTAAATTTCAGTTTTCACTGTATCTTGATTTGGTAATAGCACTTTTCTGTACTGTGAGAGTTTAAAAATGGAGTAATAACTCAATTATGTCTGATTATGAGACTAATATGATTGATTTTCTGACTAACAAGGATACTAGAGGGAATTCTCTTGGTCCAGTGAAATCAGTGTCTAATGACACAAAGTCATGTATTGGCAGAAGCACCATAAAGATGTTTCACATAAAAGCCCATAGTCTAGCCAGCTTCAGAAATCCAAGCTGAAATCCAACTATATCAAGTTGATAGCAACTCTCCCAGTACCACACAATAACACATGGTCATTACATATTGTTATTGTACAATGTTTTCATACATAGCTAGTTTCTGTCTACACTGCCAAGAATCTAATTGTAGTAAGTAACTACTAGCATGAATAAGACCCTGTTTTTCAAGGGCTGGATTTTTCAAAATGATCATTGCAAATCAGAGTCTAAGGCTTACCAATTACTCTCAAATTCTCATTATGTGCCTGCATAAGCAAAGACTTCCAAGGGGTTTCATGGTGCAATAGATACGCCAAATGTTGAGAATAATTCTTCTTCTGCATGTCTTCATAGGGAGGTTTCTTGGGAAACAGCTACTCAAATAATTAGGAAAAAAACAGAAGGTGATGGCAGACCTCAGACATAAACCACTGCACTTTATACGTAAGCATTTTCATTGTAGCATTTTGGCTTATACTATTCTCTACCTTAAGTGCCCATTTAAATTGCATTTTCAGCATTCTGCAGAACTGTGTGTAGAAACATATGTATGTTTCATATGGTTCTTCCCCCTTTTCCAAAAATTTTCTTTCCCCTACATTAACACAAAGAACTCAGTTTCTCTTAATTGCTCAGTAAAACAGAGTACCTTGGGGCTTTATTAAGATTTCTGAGAGACTGAACCATGTGTGAGATAAATTGGCTACATAAGTGCTTTCTGGAGGGCATAGAGCAGTATTCACAAACATAATCATCTTTCACCTTGATGTTAATTATATACTTTGCCATTCAAAATAAGTTATGGCCATAAGCTAAAGCATTTGTAAAGTAAACATGTCACGAAAGCAAGATATGAGAGAATTAATTAAAATAGTAAACTCAGCACTATTAAAAATGCCTTTTCTTTTTACTTCCAGTCTCTAGTGTGGCCTAAATGGAAAACAACCACTGGTCTCTTGAAGGAAGGCAGCAAATTTTCACCTCTCTAGGTTGCTTTGTTTAAAAATAAAAATATAATGCACAGGTCTTTTCCTCAGAATATGAAAATGAACGGGCCCTTTTGGTTAACAATTTGATGAGCTGGAAGTGCCTCAAGGTCTCATAAAATACATTTCCTCTATAAAAAAATGTTTTACATAATCTATCATTTCTACATTTAATTTTATATTCAGGTTTTTTTCTTCCCTTTTTTATAATCAAGGATATTTATACAAAAACAGAATCTTTATTTTTGAACTGTGCTCTACTCCAATACAGTCAGTATGACCCATTTTTGAGAGTGAGTTTTCTGGTGGGGTTTGTTGCATGTTGTTTAAGGTAGGACCATAAGAACCCAACAAAAATCACCATGATCCAGAAATCAATCTCTGACTGAAAGAGAAGGCAACCACAATTTGTTGATTTCCAACAGCAATTAATGATGAGCTCAGAAAACATGTTCCAGACCCTGCCAAATTTAAAGCACTGGCTCAGTTAATACTAAAGTACTAGATTTTACAAACAGATTTTTGAGGCATATCAGAAAGATCATAAAGAAGATGCTTGAAAAAAAAAATTGGAGGTTTTTGCTTTAAATTGCCATCTGTCAGACTATTAACAGGATACAGTACAGTTGAGGATACAGAACAGAGATACTTCTGGTTTCTTTTTCCTGTAATTTCAAGCTTTGAAACCACCCTGCTCACTTCCCACTGGATAGCCCACCTCAGCCCCTCAGAAGTCCCCCTGGGGCCCTGCCTCTGAATCCAGGCTGTGCTCTATTCTACTTTGTCTCCTACATCAAACTCCAAAATTCAGTGTGAAGAATTCCATTCCTCATTCTCACTCTCCTCCATCCACCATTTTGTCTGCCTGACACCTAAGTCCTAAGTCCTCAATGCTCCTCTGTAAGCCCACAAAAAAACCAAACTAAAATATAAAAATCAATGTCTGTAGCTTCAGAAAAAATATATGACAGATATATATGACAGATATATGACAAAAATATATGACAAGATGAATCCACTGAAAGGTTCAGTACCTGGGACAATATTTTGGGGACGTTTATTTTGTTTGTCTTTATGCTTTCTTTCTAAAACAATGCTGATATAGTGTTAAATCAGACTGCTGACACAAATAATCCTTTGATCTGAGCTAGCAGGGCTGTTCTTATGCACTGTCAGTATAATACCTCCATTCTCTGTTCACTCTTTTATGTTTGTGTATAGAAGCTAAGACTAAGGTTCTTGCAAAACAATTTTGTTGATATCTGACATACTTTATAAACTAAATAATGTTTCATGAGTTTATAACATTACCCATTTGAGTCATACTGGATATTAGTTACAAGTATAATAGATTAATACTAGAAGTAGCATTGTGAAGCACTTTCTTTAAGATTACAATACTAAAGTTTAGATAAAGAATTTCTCACCTCCTTCAGGATATTAACTGCAGACCAAAAGGAATGATGAGGGCATGGACTAAGCACACAGTAGGTATTTATTAGTACATCTAATATATTCAAAAAATTATTGTATGTCTTTTTATATTTTGATCCTATTAAATTGATTTGGAGCCTTTCTATACCCTGCCTTAGTCCTGAATGGGATTCACAGACTCCCCAGTGAAGGAATTCAAGTAAAACCAATACAAATAATTAAAGGGTTTATGCAGCAAATATATGAAATATATGAAAGCTAAATGAGCTAACATTAGGCACAGGTCTGGTTTAGTATGCAGACTTTGACAAAATGAGAGCTATCTTCAAGAATAAGGAGCCAGAATTCTCTCTCTTCCTCTTCCCAGCTGACAGAATTTATAGCTCTGTGAGAAAAGTTTAGTTACCACAGGCCATTTGGCCCCAGTTCCCCTACCCAGAACACTAGCTGGCCTGCAAATTAAAACAACATTTTCTACTACAGGGTATATGCCCCACTGAGTCTACATCAACACTAAGTCTACACCAAAGGCTACTGAGAATATCAAATACTTGTTGATATCACTTACTGCTCTTGGAGCAAAAGCAAAAACATAAAGAAGAAAATATACTGCTCATGCAGGAAGTTTTTCTAATATTACAAGATATTGTTAAAAAAACACAAAATACAAACCAATGACTACTCTCACATAAACCATGAAAAACCACATTGGAGGCTTTCACTTGCAGCTATTTACAAGCATTAGGAAACTACCATTTCTGACCAAACCAGAAATGTTTTCTGGTCAGTATTTCTGTGCTTACTCTATTTGAAAGAAGATAAATGTATATGCTCCTACTGAAAACATCATTGCCCAGTTCTTTAGAAAGAGAATTGAAAAATTTTCAGTAAGCATACCAAGAATTAGCTGATTGTTCAACAACATTGTGAAGTAAAAAGTAAGACTAAGGTAAGAATTAAAATAAATACATTTTCCTAATAAAATAACTCTTTGCATCATCCTTTTGATGATACATACAGTTTTAGTGATTGTCCAGCCCTCTAGTTTGTCGAGGTCTCTTGGCGGGGCCAAGAGCCACACATGCAAGCAAAGCTGGCAACAGCATCATCCCCCAACCATTGTGACACCACTGGTGATGCTGGCTCCGTAAAGTGCTTGCATCACAAAGGGCTCCAGCCTGGCATCCCTATAAAGGCAGGGCAGCCTCTCACAGCACTCAGCAAGTACCACCATGGCTGGTTACCGTCGGCGGGGCAGAGGGCGCAGGAGCCGGAGCCGGCAGCCCCTGCGGAAGACTCGGCGCACCGGCCACATCCGCTCTCGCCGCCGCAGCACATGGCCAAGGGCCATGGCCCGTGGCTCCCCAGTCATCCAGCGCCGGCCCCCCAAGAGACGCAGACGTCATGAAGAAGAGGAGCCGCAGCATGAGCTGGATGACGTGGGAGAGGTCACTGAGCCCGTGGAAAACTTTGAGCTTTAGAGCCAGAGCCCTGAGAAGACAAACCAGCACATGGGCCTGGCTACAACAATAAAGCATAGCAATGTCGCATGATGACTGCGTGTGTCTGGTGCACCTTCCACCAGCTGTAGGTTGCTCGGTCTGCCTGTGTCCCAGGGGTGTAGGCATTATGTTCCTGTGTGTGATCTGTATGTTTGAGGGTGTTTATATGGGGCATGCATGCGCATGTCCGGGGTTGTCTTTGTTTGGGATGAGGTGTGACTGTATCTTCAGCCCAGGGTCTGTGGGGAGTGCACGTGACCGAGGACACACAGATAACCTCTGCTCCTGCCACTGCTCCCCTGGAGTCCCTTTTTTGGGTCCCTCTTATTGCAGGGTCCCTAGGGGCTGAGCAGAGCCCACAGAGAGAAGAACCCTTAGTGCCACATGCCCTCTCCTGTGGCACTGCTGGGGCTTCAAGGGTAAAGGCCAGACAAAGCAGTGTAAGTTGCTCTGCCCATCCAACTCCTGACTCTCACCCTGGCCATACCCCACTCCTGGCAGGGTTGTCACATTGCCCTTCAGAGATCTCTCTGCAGAGAGACCACTGACCCTGCAACATTCTTATCTGTGCCTATACTGGGGTTGGGTTGACGAGGGCTCCAAAGCGAGGAGACAGTGCAGAGAGCATCTGGGAGAAGATGCCACCAGTTGCCCTATGTCGGCCAGGGTAGTGCCAGCCAGGTCCAAGAAGGACTTACCACTGGCTAAGGCTGAGCCCATTCTCAAAGGTGATAGTGACTCAGGAACAATGTCTTTGGGAATGCACGTGAGAAACAGTTCTGCAAAGGCCAGGGCAGGGAGAAGGAAAAGGGAAGATGCTCTAGAAAATGCAGAAGGAGTTCCTCTACAGACACTGGGGAAGACCATGATTTGCAGGCTCTTACTGTGCTTACACTGTTGAGGCAGGATGGGAATGAAATGACTCCACTTCAGAAGGTGAGAGAATAAATCTCTGATTTATTTCAAAATACATCGCTCAAACCATTGGTGTGCAGTGCATGACGCACAGTGGTAGAACTTAACTATAAGCGATGTGAACAACAAGAGAAATAAAGGACTCACATTCTTTCTCAGAACTTTCTCAGGCTTCTGCCTGGTTAGAAATTTTCAGTTTCTCTCTTTGACTGAATCTGAGACCTACACTGTGTAGCCCATTTTGTGCCATTGGTGAGCAGATGTGCCCCTGCAGCCCTTAAGCAACCACAATGAAGGCAGGTAATGCTTTAACCCCAGCCAGAAACAAAGTACCATGCAGTGCAGGGGCTCAGCCTCCCCACCAGCTTGCTGGAGGAGAGAATTGGAGGAGTAAAGATAAAAGCCAATTTACTGGGGAAATCAAAAGCCACACATGCAAGCAAAGCTGGCAACAGCATCATCACCCAACCATTGTGACACCACTGGTGATGCTGGCTCCGTAAAGTGCTTGCATCACAAAGGGCTCCAGCCTGGCATCCCTATAAAGGCAGGGCAGCCTCTCACAGCACTCAGCAAGTACCACCATGGCTGGTTACCGCCGGCGGAGCAGAGGGCGCAGGAGCCGGAGCCGGAGCCGCCGCCGGCATCCCCTGCGGAGGACACGGCGCACCGGCCACAGCCGCTCTCGCCGCCGCCGCCGCCGCACTCAGCCAAGGACCAGATCCCACGCCATCAAGCGCCGGCCCGTCAGGAGATACAGACGTCTTGTAGAAGAAGAGCCGCAGGATGAGCTGGATGACGTGGGATTGTTCAGCGAGTCCATAGATGATTTTGAGCTTTAGAGCCAAAGCCCCTGAGAAGATGAACCAGCACATGGGGCTGGCTGCAACAATAAAGCATAGCAATGTCGCATGATGACTGCGTGTGTCTGGTGCACCTTCCACCAGCTGTAGGTTGCTCGGTCTGCCTGTGTCCCAGGTCATTGTGTCCCTCTCCATGCCTGACAGCTGTGGGTGGCACAATATGTGATAGGCTTTGGAATCAGAGTAGCAGGCCATGGACACATGCACACCTTTTCCTGGACACCCCTGACTTTTATCTCAAGCCACAAGTTTTATCAGTTTTAGTCTTATGATTCTCCCCCCTAGCAAGCTACTCTCAAACTCCCAGCAGTACTGTTGGAGAGGGCATAAAGCACCAAATGTTATTCTTAGTGTGGGCTGTGCTCAGCCCCTTGGGACTTTGCAAAAAGAAGGACCCAGAAATGGACCCCAGGGGACTTAGAGAAAAGAGCAGGGACATCTGTGTGGGCTTGGTCACAAGAACTGCCCAACAGGGAGAGATTACATGTATTGTTTATATTCATCTATTCATCCAGAACTTCTGTCTGGACACCATCCAGGCCTACACATTCTTACGAGTATGTTTTATAAAATTTATATATATATTTACAGTAATCTGTACATGTATTAGCAGCTTTGTAATTTCATAGAAATGTTCTCTCCCTTTAAATCTCCTCAGAATGTCATTCTAGCAGTGGTATTCCACTTAAATATCCAGAAATTAGTTTACTAATGAAACATTCCATTGGTTCTATACCTTATAAAATTTGCCTAGATTTAAAAAGTAATTGGAAGGATTAATGGAAGAAAATTCTGCCAGAGGCTGTGAAATATAAAGACTTCAAGCCCAGGAATTCTTGGGAGTATTCCCTGAAGATGTATCATTATAAGTTTGACCTGCTCAAACAGTCCTTCAGCATTTACTGTTGGACATTCTTTTGTAATTATGTAATAGCATGAGAGGCACAAAGCTGGACAAAGAGAAAGAAAGTTCCATCTTTTGCCTGATAAAATGTCAGATACTAAAAAACACTCATACGTGAGGGCCAATTCTCAGCATATAAAATAAACATTTATTTATTTATTTTCTGTAGCAAAGAAAGATAACCTTATCAGCTTGCTAGGTTAAATCAGCTCTGGTCTGACATGCACTTCAATAGATGTGAAGTTACCATGGTGCTGATGGACAAATACCCTCTGCATAATAGCAATGGCTTTAATTAGAAGTTTGGTGAGCCCAAAAGACTCTGATGAGTCAGTGAGGTACAGACACTGAACATGGTATTTAGTCTTCTGGGGATCTTGAAGATGTGATGTAAAGTACACTGCTGTGTGTTGTGCTGCATAAGCAGAAGCAAGGCTGTCTGGGTGAAAATGTTCAGTGAAAAATACCTTGCAGGCTCAAGAAAAGAAATAAATATGAAGGATGGGAGGAGTGAACAATCCAACACCAAAGAAAATTGCTAGGAATAAAGAAAAGACCTGTTTAGCATTTCAAAAGGTATATTTCTTCTTATGTATGTTCAGTATTCCAAATCCACCAACAAACCTAGAAGTCCTCAAGCTAGAGTAGTAGCTGGCTTCTTCCAAAGGAGATCACCTTGATGGATGGGAATATATAGAGCTGGTGTGTCACTGTAGGCTAATCTGAAGCTACAGGTGTGATCTGCCAATTCTAACAAAGATAAATACCGCTTTTACCTCACAGTGTTTCACAATGCCAGGCAGTGGCCATTGGTTTCCCCAACATGATGGATTTTATGGTCAGGTGTGGTGACATCTC